TACCAGGGATTGAACTCGGGGCACTCGACCACTAAGCCCCATCCCCAGCCCTATTTTATATTTTATTCAGGGACAGGATCTCAATGAGTTGCTCAGCCCCTCAACATTGCTGAGGCTGGCTTTGGACTTGCAATCCTCCTGTCTCAGCCTCCCGAGTCGCTGGGATTACAGGTGTGCACCACCGCTAATATAACTCTTGTGTTTAGCTTTGTATTCCCCTTGAAGACATTTTGTCATGTTTATAAGGTTGTACATTCATTCCAGAATATTCCATCCTAGAGTAAAACTTCCTATTCATTGGAATTCACTTCCAAACTCTCCACCCTCATCGTCTTATAACTGCAACTGACTTCTGCCTCCACAGGTTTTTTTTTTTATTCTGGACATCTCCTACAGATGGAAGCATATAAGATGTGGCCTTCTGATTCTGCTTTCTTTCACCCAGCAGAATGTTTTCAAGATTGATTTATGTGGCAGCAGGATCAGACACTTCATTCCCGTTCTGGGCTCAAGATGATATATCTTGATCTTAGCAGCAGCAGCAGCGGCAGGAAAAGGAAGAGGAGAAATGTAACAGGAGTAGACGACTTAGTATTGGATAGCACACTTTGTGTGTCTATTTCTTTGCTGATGAACATCTGGGTCATTTCCGGAATCTGTATAGCATGAAAAAAATGCTGCTGTGAACGTTTTTGCAAAAGTTTCTTCGTGGACATTTGTCGCCAGTTCTCTGGAAACCTCTTGGTCATAGGTTTGACATCTGTGGAATTGACTAGGTGTCATTCCCTGGCAGAGTCACACCTGCAGTGCATGGCAATTCCACTGGATCCACATCTGTCCAGCCGTGGCTCTGGCTGCTTTCTCTATAGTCATTCTAGAGCAATTCAAGAGGTGTGGCATATCCCTCGTGACTGGCACATTGAAGATCTTAGATTTACTGGCCATCTTCATATAATCTGCTGTATAACCATCACTTCATTCGCTGTGTCTTAACTGCCTTATCTTTTCCTTATTGAGTGGACCGTGGTCTTTCACTTTTTAAAATTGTTTGAATCGTTCTTTTCAGTTAGACACGACTGTAGAGTATATTTTGACATATTTTACGTGCATGGGGGTGCATCTTTTTCCTAACTGGGAACCCATTCTTGTGGTGTAGAGATCCACTTGCTGTATTCAAATGTATACTTAGGAAAGTTACACCCTTTCCCTTCTCTTTGTTTAATACTCTGAACTTCTATCCCCCCTCCTTATTGTGTGTTAACATGACAGAGAGAACATTTGACCTTTTTTTTTTTTTTTTTTAGAGATTGGCTCATTTCGCTTAGCAAAATAGTCATCAGATCCAGCCATTTGCTTGCAAATGTCATAAAGTCATTCTTCTTCGTGGCTGAGCAATATTCCGTTGTTTATAGATACCACCTTTTCTTTATCCTTTTATCTGTTGAAGATCAGCCAGGTTGGCTGCATAGCTTAGCTGTTGTGAACTGAGTTGCTGTAAACATTGTTGTGGCTGCGTCCCTGTAGTAGGCTGATTTTAAGTCCTTTGGGTAAACACTGAGGAGTGGGATAGCTGGGTAACATGGTGGTTCCATTCCAAGGATTTGGAGGAATGTCCCTACTGCATTCCAGAGTGACTGCAACAATTTTCAATCCCACAAGCAGCGTATGAGAGTACCCTCTTCCCCCACATCCTTGCCAACGTTTATTGCTACTAGTATTCTTGATTCTTGCCATGTTGTTCATGGTGATATTTCCTTTTTCATCACGAATTTTAGAAATTTGAGTTTGTTCAGTCTTTCTCTTGGTGAGCATGGTTAGCAGTTTCCAATTTTTTTTTTTTGATGAACCAACATTTTGCTGAGTTTTAAAATTTTTTTTTGTTTTAATTTAATTGTTTTCAGGTCTGATTTTAATTATTTCCTGTGTTTTACTGCTTTTAGTGTCAATTTGGGCTCATTTTTCTAGGTCCTTGAAATGTAATATTAGGTTATTTTTTTTTTGGTATCTTTCATTCTTTTAATGAATAAGCTTGGTGCTTTGGACTTTTCTCTTAAAACTGCCTTCATAGTATCACAGAGATTTTGATATGTTGTGTTGCTATTCTAATTTACCCCTAAGTATTTTTCTTATTTCATCCCCGATTTGTCTTAAGTATTTTTTTAAACATTTTTCCCTGATTTCTTCTGTTATTCTTTCATCATTCAGTAGTGTATTATTTAGTACCCAAGTACCCAGGTGTTAAAGTAGCTTTCATTTTTGATTATATCACTGATTTTTAATTTCATTCCATTATAATCTGATATAATGCAAGGCATTATCTCTGTTT